ATATAAAAAGATTTAGGACGGAAGAGAAGCAACGGGAATTGTGTGAACGATTTGGGTTTGACAACATCAACAAATAATAAGCGCATCAACCAGGATTTGTTTTAGAAACTAAGAATAAGATATTTTGGGACTTTTATATCCAAACTGACAAGTTCGTCTTAGAAAAAAAGAAAGATGGCTGTGAACGGAGTATAGAAAGATAAAAAATCTGTCGATCATAGACTTGCTCGTGTCAGCAGAACACAACAAGAAGACATATATAAGCTTTCATCCAATCTAATGATTACATACAAAGTCTCAGAGCAGACAAGACAAGAAATGGCGATTGCATTTTAGCATAGACGACATTTCAAATCGGTACGCGTAAGTAATTTTTAGTCTTTTTTATAGCTGGCCATTGAAGAGAAAGCTACTCTTCTCGTCACCCATTTCTCTTTAGCTATTTCTAAAGCAACAAACAGAATATTCCTGAAAATTCCTCGTCTGCAGTCGCTCTCTCACAGACGCGCCGTCGCCTCTCTCTGTCTTTTCTACAAATACTTCCATGGTAATTGCTCTGATGAGCTGCTTTCACTGGTCCCCAGACTCCATGAATTCAAGCGCCCTACGAGGCTGGCATCCTGCTCCCACCCTTAGACTGTAGAAACTTTTAAATGTAGCCGTCTCTTCTACTCCAATAGCTTCATACCTCGCACCTCTCGCCTGTGGAACACCCTCCCCAATTACTGTTTCCCTGAGAGCTATAATCTCCAATTGTTCAAATGTAATGTCAACCGACATCTCCAGTTACATTGATCTACCCACTATCCCTCTCCTCGTCCTTTTTTCTATCACTCCTATCTGCTCTCGCTCCAAATTTTCCGCAACCCCTGCATCCTAGTGGCTTCACGCCTTGCTTGGAGCGTAATGCTTAAAAAGAAAAAAAAAAGGAATACATTTTACATTTGATGATTGCATTTAAGACAGTTACGGTAATCACTTTGTAGGTTATACAATAAAAATCAAAGAAAACTGAAATGCCAGTGTTCTGGAATTAGGAGAGGCCTTACTATCTAAATAGTGCTATTATAACCAACAATATAATACAAGATACGTGGCTGAGTGGTTAAAATGTTCGCATTCTGACCATTTCCTGATGTTATCGATCCCAGCGGTACATTTAGAAAGTGCCTGGAAACCATAGAACATGTTGACCCAACCCTTGTGAGTGAAACTGGATAGACGGAACTTGAGAGTGCTGGGCTTGTTCAAATTGTTGATCACGCTAGATAACACGCTCCTTCCCAGAAACTGTAGCTAAGGTTTTGTTGTAGAGTAGTTTTCACAGTGGAGGCTTGTATTTCAATAAGTCGTCCTAAATTAGGTTCGACGTACAAAACGTTAGGAACTTGAAATAAGAGTTAATGACGCAGCAATGTAGTTGTGATGGTTGGTACTTCAATGTCCGATATCGACTGACTCGCTGAACACCACTGAGCCGAACTGGCGACCGCTACCACTGCTACTACTTATTATGCGTGTGAGAGTCTATTAATAATAGAATAGCTACGTCAGGTATAACAGGTTTGCTCAACATAGTTGTAGTATAAACCACAGGTGGGCTCTGCGGTGCTGAATGAACAAAAATGCGCCAGAGCAAGCGTCTGCAAAAGGGATTGGCTAGCCGCCCTAGTATCCTCGAATACGAGTGGCCAGCTATACATACATAATAAAAATACTTGAAAAAATCTAAGTGTAATGTTAATTGTTGTCTTCCTGTTTTTTATTGTTTTCTCTCTTTAATAATTTTTTTTTTTATATTCTTTCACCTTCAGTACCCCTTGCGTCCTAGTAGCCTTGCTTGGGGAATAATAATAAAAATATAATAATAATAAAAATAATAAGATAGAATTTCATAAACAAATTCAGTTTATTTAATACCTGCATATTATAAGCAGTTAAATAGCAACAGCTAAAATCATAATCAGGATGTAAGCTGATACATTGGGCACTTCGACGTTATGTGATGGTTAGCAAACGTGTTTCACTAGATCAGTTACGACTGAGTAGTGAGTTCGATTCTCACACTTTCGGCTTGGTGCCACATCTAAGCTACGCTTTGAAAATCACCATATTTACGGTTGTTGTGATCTCCAGCCTTCTTCGGGTATCTGCCGCTCCGGGTAATTGCTATGAAATTTCGAACTGAACCCTTTATTCAACCTAAGTGGGGTGATTGTTCTCATTCCGATGTCCATGTCTTGGAGTTATCTTCTCTTTTGCTTATTATTGCAAGTTTTGTTTACAAAGTGTCTGGATATATCCCGACCATCCGGGCGGGGATGTAACACAAAATTGCATTTTCATCAAATTCAACAACCAATTATTTAATCCTTTATGCCAGTGGTACTCAACCTTTATTTTTTTTACTTAGGGATCACTTTTACACTTAATGATTTTGGAGGACCCACATAATCTTTCGATAAAAAAAAGGTATTTTATTTTTTACTACTGGTTAAGTTTTGGAATTGTATTATAGAAATAGTAAACATATATCCTTCCGGTATATATTATCTTTACATAATTTATGGAAGATTACGGTGGACTAATGGATAGCAACTCAGATTGAGAACCGAATTCGAATTCCAATCAGATCCATTACATGCTAATACTTGCCAATACCTTGGTAAAGATATGAATCCTCTTCAGCTATCTGGATGGCAACTGGTCTACCGCTGAAAGAAATGGCAAATTACTGCTGAAAAAAATCTGCCTTGTCAGTCATGTGTCTAAAGATACATGATCGCCTTAGGCACATACATATATGCCTAATATTAATATATAATATGCCTATGTATTTTAATTTTATTAATATATAATATATATATTAATATTTTATTTTATTAATATATAACACAAATAATAAATTATAAATTTGTTTAAATCCTATATATTAATATTTTATTTTATTAATATTGAAAATTAATATTTAAAGTTAATATTATTATTTATTAATAATATATTAAATTAATTTATATAACAAAATATAATCTTTACATAATTTTCCTTTATATATATAATCCTTCCTTTCTATATCCGTCTCAGTTTCTATTCAATTTTTACAATCAAAACATCCGGTAGAGAAAATGGGACGATAATTTACATCGCTTGATCTCGTTTTCTGTTAGTTTTAGAGTTGTTTTGCTATTTTTAGTGTTTTAATATGGCGTAGATTACGGTAGAAATTCCAAGTCTCATCTGTAACAAGCGTTCTAAAGTAAAATTGCTCTATGGACGACCACCGTGGGCCCTCAATTTGCTATTTGGTTTGTAGACCCCCAGTAATGTTACATGGACCCAAAGAAGGCATATGGACCCTGTTTGAGAATTACTGCTTTAGGCCATTGTTCCACGGGGAATAGGAAAGTCCAACGTAGATTTTAGTGTGTGAAAATATATAGCAAATATGACAGGGGTTAAAAAATTAATAATTCGATCGTTGCGAATTTCCTGTAAGAAATCTTATACGAAATATTAAGGCCAGAGACGTACTTAGAGATAAGACAATTGCATTTTTATTAATTGATTGATTGTTTGATCCGTTTTCTGTAGCTTATCAACCCTTTACAGGTTCTTTAAAGTCAGAAAACATTTTTCGATAGTAAGATCTTTTTTGGTGGGGGTATTATAATTATTTAGTGATACTAATCTTACTAATTAACCCATAGTTAGGGAGAAGAAGTGAAATCATACTTCTAAGGATATTTGCGTGAAAGTGAACATAAAGAACCAAACTGGAATTGGAACTTTGCTTTCTGATTAACAATTCCGAGACATTATCCATTACACCATCCGCATATCCAAGTTTACAGCACCTGGTATTCTCAAGCGGCCATTCCCATAACTACTGACCAAGCTCGATGTTGCTTAACTTCAGTGATATTACGGGAAACGGAGTTTCAATGGGATATATCCGTAACTAAAAATACATTTTGGTCTATATTATAGTGAGAGAAAAATATTATCTTTTGTTAAAAGTCCATCTTGGTGTAAAAACTATTATATTAACAGTAATAAATTAGCTTATATCGTTATTATTATTATTATATTATTATTCCTTCAAAACAATATGTAATAATTTAGCTGAAAATATGAAGCACCCAATAAGAGTCGAACTTACTACTCAATTGTTATTGATTTATCGATCTTGCTAATCATTACACCCCATCGAAGTGTTCAATCAAAGCTATGTGTACGAGTAAATATTGTTCACAGACTATGAAAGAAAATTATCATATAAATATTTAAAAGTGAAATATATTTCACGTTTAAATGTTAACCATTGATTAACATTTAAAAGTGTGATTTGATATATTCCTCATATTTGTCTAATGTAGCCATTTAATTATTCAAATGTTCGCCTAAAATTTGTTTTAGCAAAATTTAGCACTACATTATTTTATTCATTGAAACTCAAGGAAAAAAAGATATTGTTATTTGTTAAGAATTAATGTAAGTGTTACTCATCGAATACAGTTATATGTATGACAGCATTATTGTTAGTGATTTTTTATTATTATTATTTTCTGAATTCGACATCTTTCGTTAAGTCTATGAAAATAAATCATATCACTCGTCTTGATTGATTCGGATTGTTAAGTTTTAACTGAATAGAATATCAGTAAACGTTGAAAAAAATCAGTAAGAAGCAATGCTTTGCAGATTTCAGAAAAGCAATTGTACCGATTCTGACCTAACAGATAAGGAAAGGTGTTTTTTAGTTGTCTCAAGGCAAACTGCAAGTCACACCTGCAGTGTTTTGCGTTCTTTTATCTTGATATAAATCTTTGCATTTCAAGTGAGGGAAAGAAAATTCGTTCGAATGAAAAGAGAATATTTAAAGAGACGTGAAGAGATGGAATATTCGATATGGACAAAAGTCTGGATAATATTTTGAAAAACAGGATTGTTCGAGAGATGTAAACTAGACTTAGAACTGTTTTCTCATTCTTTTCTTTCAGTAGACACTCGACGCATTCTAGAGATCCGTGTTCTTTTGCACACTAATCTATCTATCTATCTATCTATCTATCTATCTATCTATCTATCTATGCCCATCTATCCATCTATCATCATCTATCTATCTATCTATCCATCTATATGTTATGCCCATCCATCCATCCATCCATCCATCCATCATCCATATCTATCATGTCCATGCCCATCCATCCATCCATCCATCCATCCATCCATCCATCCATCTATCATATGTTTGCCCATCCATCCATCCATCCATCCATCCATCTATCCATCCATCTATATCTATCTCATCTATCTATCTATCTATCTATCTATCTATCCATCCATGTTATGCCTATCCATCTATCTATCCATCCATCTATCTATCTATCCATCTATCTATCCATCCATCTATCTATCTATCTATCTATCTATCTATCTATCCATGTTAGTATCTATCTATCCATCTATCTATCCATCTATCTTTCCATCCATCTATCCATCTATATCCATCTATCATCCATCCATCTATGTTAGTGCCCATCCATCATCCATCCATCTATCTATCTATCTATGTTATCTATCCATCCATGTTAGTGCCCATTCATCCATCTATCCATCCATCCATCCATCTATATCCATCTCATCTATCTATCTATCTATCTATCTATCTATCTATGTTAGTGCCTATCTATCTATCTATCTATCTATCTATCTATCTATCTATCTATCTATCTATCTATCTATCTATCTATCTATCTATCTATCTATGTTAGTGCCTATCTATCTATCTATCTATCTATCTATCTATCTATCTATCTATCTATCTACTTACTACGTTATTTTATTCGCTGATACGTGGCTCCCAAGAAGTGAACAATGCAATTTAGACACAGACTTAATGCTATATCTGGAGAATAAGTATTAAATAAAGCAGATTTTGGAGGATAACATGAAGACAAGGCGTAAATTTCAAAAAGGAGAGCTTTAATTAATTAATTAACAGGGAAAGTAGCGAAAGTGTTAATTAACGTTCTTTGGCTGTGGACCTATTACGATCGATAAATCGATTTCAGCCGATAAAGCTTGCTTTGTTTTGGCGTTTTTCAGTATGTCTGTTTGGTCTTCTCGTGCAGTACTAAGCCACGCACATCTAATAATTGTACAGAACATGGAAAGAATCATAAAAAAGAATGCGAGTTGTCTCACAAACTAATGACTAATTTGGAGCCATTGCAGTATAGCGAGCGGTAGAAGAAATAATGAGATTTACTCATCATTTTCTCCCATTTACGTCTTTAACTGAGATTCTTTTCCTTCAATTTAGTAACAAAATACATAAATATCAACGAAAATCAATGTTTTACAAAAGTTTTTCTCAATTTTCTAGTTAATTTAGAAAACTTTTTCGTACTTTAATGGAAACAATTTCATTTGAAACTTTTTAACGTGTTGTCTTGTGCATTACTATCTACTTGGTTTTCTCCACACTCTCTCTCGCTTCTACATCTAAATCGCTATCTCTCTCTTTTTCCCCCCCTCTCAGTCTCTCTCTTTTATATATATATATATATATATATATATATATATATATATATATATATATATATATATATATATGTATGTATGTATTGGTCTTTACTGTCGCTTACTAGTTAGCAAGACCAATTTTACGAGTGTAATTATTTTGTTTTTCACTCTGTGTCGCACTGCTGTGATTTTGTGCCATTCACAGTTCAGTAAATACCTTAGCCAGCTAATTGGGGTGGTGATTAACCGGCTTGCCGTGTAGACCATCTTGTAATTTTACCCAGTTCGATTCCCATGAGTGCTTCTCAATTTTGTCCTTGTTTAAGATAGAACTATGTTTAGTAAATAATCTCATGTATGGTTAATGACTATAGGAAAAGATTTATATGGTGTGTATAGAGGGATAAGTCTATATATATATATATATATATATATATATATATATCCCCCTCTCTCTCTGTCTGTCTGTCTGTCTGTCTGTCTGTCTGTCTCTCTCTCTCTCTCTCTCTCTATATATATATATATATATATATATATATATATATATATATATCTGTCCACGAGTACGTAGTGAACGTCTCGTTTCGTGCAGGTGTCTATCTTCAGACTGCGTACGATTAAACACCTAAAGATTAGCCTTGCATGAAAACTGGGGTCGGGGAAGGTAGGAAACATGAAAGTCTTCCTTTAAGTACCCTGTCTCTTCAGGACGTGGGTGATAGTGATTTTTCTCAACTTCCTATCTCTTGTAGGACTAAGCAATGCTTTTCCCCTTACTATCATGGAAACAAAAAGGAAACTTATACTTAATATCAAGAAGAGGCAGTTGAAATTTCTAGGGTACGTAATGAGATGGGAGGGCTTGGAAAACATGATACTCCCAGGACAGAATGAGGGAAAGAGGGGAAGGGGGAAAGCAGCGCGTAACATACTTGATGAGCTTGGGTAAATGGATGGTAGAATAGGGTTTGGGATAAATAACAAAAGACAACCTTTTTAAGAAGTACAAGTGACAGAAAGATGTGGAGGGCCATGATCGCCTACGTTCTGAAGGAACACACCAGATAAAATAAGGATCCAGCTCTGTCATTCATTTACACAAGCTCATGTCACTCCCTGTTTCTTTCTGTCCCTCACGCCTTCAGTCCTTTGAGTGACTATCATCTTTCCTAATTATGCGTCCCAGATATTTCAGCTGCTGCTTTCTGATCAGTAGCAATGGCGCCATTTTCTTTCCCATTTTCTTTAAAATTTCTCGTCAATGGTATTCTTAGTGTTTTCTATACAGCCACACCACTGATGCCTTGTCTTCTTTGCTTTAGTAGGGAAAGAGTCCAACATTCACTTATTTTTCTTAAATGAAGCATTGTATTGTCATCTATTATTATTAATTTTGACTAGTATTTACTATCATCTTAATATTTCTTTTATGAAATATTGACAACAGTTATCGTTAATATTGATTAGTATTTGCTTTCAGCATGATTTTAGTTGTTTTCTTTTTATAGTAACTTCATCCAGTCTGTCAATTTTATGGGAGTTAAGTGATTTAAGTAGATTGGAAATAGAGAAGCATATTCTCCATTTCCAATCTACTTAAAAAAATCACTTAACGAAATTCGAAATTCAAGACCCTTTTGTTTCAGGGAATCATTTTAAACACACAGATGCTTGATGGCTTTGCAGAAGACCAAATTTAAATTATTACTCATTATACCATTTCATGATTTTCATCAGCGCCATATTTGTTTTTTTTTTTGATTTTACACCAACAGAATTAATGTCTGAAATATTGTTTAAAAATCAACAAATAGTTCAGAGGGAAGTAAATAATTTATGTCGGAATTTTTTAGATGAGGAATTATCATTATAATATACTTTTTTTATTCGAACCAGCATCCTAATCTTGGTTGTTATACTCACAGCGTTACGGTTATTTGCCATACCGCTCTTTTTCAGATGCCTGCCGTAATCGGTAGCCTTCAGGAAATTATGGAGTACGACAGAACGATGAAGAAGGGTAAAAGATACAACGACTGAAAAATTGAGAGTATAACAACAAAGATGAGCTTCCTGATCCGATTAGGAAGACACCCAATAAACTAAATACTGTCAAAATCAACAATAATGGCTAACGTGTTTTTATTTAAAACGATAATAATTGTCTGATCAATTTGATAAGGTCAAAATGTCGGCTGATTTAAAAAATGATTTACAATTTTCTGTTAACTGGTGCAAGGAATGGCTTGTTAATTTTAACATCTCTAAAAGGACAATGCACAGTATTAAACGTCTGAGAGACCCATTTCTGCATGACTGATGCTAACCTCCAGGAGAGGGACTAGTTGTGCCTTCTCGGGCAAACGTTCTCTGCTAGCATGAAGTGGAAAGATTATATTGAATCAAATGCTAAGTTTACTGCTAGGAAAGTTGGTTCACTGTATCGTGCTAAACAGTTTTTCTCTACAGTTGTCGACGAATGGAAAAAAATGCTCGGCAAATAAAAGCAGTTGGTGTTCTCGAATCGGGGAAGAAAAAGTCGGATATTTTGGCTGCCACGTTTGTTGGAGAATGAGTTATTTTTCTGACTGGTTGCGTGCATTGTGATTTGTGAGATAGTACCTGCGAATCGAGTTTTCGGCATTTTTCTTTCTGTCCGCGATGTTCGAGTCTGAACTTAGTGATTTATTCTCTGTGACGTAGAAATAATCTGCGACAAACATCTCCTTTGCAATCCTAGATCGCTTACAAGATCCTTGATAAAATCTAAATAAGAATCAGCAATGTTATTGGTCCTGTCCTGGCATCTCGCCATCAGTCATTTTCCCACCACCGTAATGTAGCTTCCCTACCCCTATTCTATAAAAACTTTCATGGTAATTGTTCGAATGAACTTTCTTCGATGGTACCTAGTCTTTATAAATTTAAGAGCTGTACTAGATTGCCAGTTGAAATGGCTGGATGTAACCGTAAGTTTTACGCTAAAAAATTGTTTTAACGCATTTCAGCTTGTGGAATTCTCATCCGAATTCCCGCTTCAAAAATTTAAATGCAATGCCAATCGTTATCTACTCTCTTCTTTATTCCTTTTCTATTGTTGTTCTCGCTCCTTAATAATATTTTTCTTATTCTTTCACACTTTGTAAGCTATTGTACCTTAGTGGCTTTTTACCTCGTTTGGGGTGAAATGATTAAAAACGAAATTAAAAATGCAAGACCCGGCTATTTTTAAAAAAATTATATTTCTTTGAATAGAAATTGTTATTCTATTCTTATGAACAGCAAAACGAGCGGTGAGTGTAACACTGAAGAAGTTATTTTAATTGATAAGTTTAGGAATAACGCACATTGCATCGTTTTACTACATAAGAATCCATTCTAAAATATGAAATAAAAAACGCAGTTATTTCGGTTGTTTTAGTAACTTTCGATCAGAAAAATAACTCGTCATCATATATATTAATCATTTTATAATATGAAACATAAAGCTAAAACATTAAAAAAAGTGCCGTCAATCAGGATGTGGAAAAAAAAACATATCTTCAATCTATTGTTTGTGAATCCCCTCCAGGTTTCTAAGAAAAATGTATGAAAATCTTTGTCACTTCTAAGACTTTGATACGTTTGAAAACGGCGAAAATGAAAAACTCATTAAATTCGAGAAGCCCCGGAAAACGTTCTTTCAAAAAAGTTTCTTTTCAGTCTATTTGTTTTCGATCAGAGATGCAATTTTCTTCTAGTTTATTCTGAAGATTTTCATGAAATAACATAGCGTCTTTTTTTGTGAAAAAATAAAAAAAATGCTGATGAAAGCTTTTTTGCATAGAAATAGCGGGCAATATTCCTACTTCCATTATGTTATGAGAATCTAATTTCTGGTTCCCTTTGATGTGGATGTATTTATTTGAATGTTAATTGAAACCGAAGTCGTACATTTTAATGAGGAAATAAATAATATTTACATGCAATAACAAATTTTTAATCCCGAAAGGGTAAGAAACTTTATATAATGACCTTTTATTCAAATGTAGTATTTCTGCTAAGAATCTGTTTCCTTTGCTATTTATTTATTTAAATAAGATAGGGTAGTAGATTTTGTTAATATATCGATTTTTATCAATAATATTTTATCAATAATATTTCCAGAATATTATCATTACAAATGACCAGTATCGTCTTTTTTTAAACAAGAATACTAAAGTTAAAAGTTGAATAAGAGTCATATAAAAAACAAAACAAAACAATAAAATTAAATAACAAATATGCAAATACTAATGAAGTTAACTACAGGGTACGATGTCGCTAGTT